CTGTTTAAGCTGCTACACGTGATCTATGACACATCGGGATGACTTGAAGTCGTTCTCTGTGATCTTGTGTAATACCCGCGTTGGTCGAATATCAGTCAACATAAAGGGAACAACAGACTATTCATCGATAGCAAACGCCACCATTTGTCCGACGGTTATTACAGCGTTTATATACGATGAAATTTTCAAACCCATTGGAGCCCATCTCAAACTAAATGAAAAACCCATTCGACTCGGTTGGCTCTTGGCAAGAACTCTCGAGTTGTCATCGAGACACCATCGCGGGTTCGAAATTACCGAGCTTCGTTGTCTATGACGAACTGTTCGTTCATCTCAATTCGCCCTTCCCCGTTGCTAAGAGCCATGACGGTGAAAACAGAAAAGTGTAAGTACTGTCGAACCGAATCATTTTCTGCCCTGCAGTACAAAAAAATAGCACAGGGCATGATCATGGAATTGAAACTATCCATCTTAGGTATAAAACATAAACTGGTGTATATGGAATATCTCAGTGTCACGCTGCATGTAAAACAATTACTCAAGCTTCTGGTCCTGGAACAACCATGCGCCTGAGAAAATGCCCTACCATTGCGATCTCCGATCTCTGGGACACACGAAGATTCGATGAACTCAGTGTCTAGGTATGGGATAAAGCATGAACCTTGGGAATTACGAAGAAGTAAGGATGTTTTCCCGACGGAATTCCTCTAGGGAAAACATCCTCACTTCTTCGTAATGCCCAAGGGTAAGCTTTATTCAACTTATAAACCGACCGAAGATATACTGTAGATATAATTTCAATATTTAGTTTACTTTTGAAAGCAACTGGAATGAGGCTGGCAGCCAACGCTTTGCCTTGCACGCAATGCACGTGCTCTGTACGTGCTACCCATGTCCTGCACATGCGCTACCCGCACTACCCGTCTTGGGAGGACACACAGTTCATGCAGACAAACAATCTTTTTCTTCACAGCGATCCTTCGTAGCCTAGTGGATAAAACCGCCAAGCTAGTGAGCCAAGGGTGGCGGGTTCGAAACCGTGTGTCGGCACTACATGTTGGAAGTTTTCAATAGTGTCATATTTTACGATCGCATTCAGTGATGGCAAGACAAAGTCGTAACAATCTTCAACACAAGTAAAAATCAAAGTCAAGTGCTATTCCTAAGAAAATCCCCGGGCAGAGGGACGATATTGGGGTAATGCCCCTAATCGACGGGGCATTGGGATATGACAAGAAATACTGCCTCGCTAGAACAATAGAGTGACGTCACTGGAGGTTTATAAGGCAAGGCATACGCTTTAAAATTAAGAAATAACATTTACGGGCGAACAGATGTGAGTGGTGGTGGTAACATAGGAGATTTAGACGATGTCATAACCAGAGGTCTCTTAAAGAAAGACGCAGTACAATCTCGTCCTCAATGACAATAACAAATTGGTGATGGTACCAGCATTCGATGGCAATCTAGGCAATTTAGACAGTGTCGAAACCCGAGGTCTCTTAAGAAAGACGTTGTACCAGTTGATCCTTATCAATGATAACCAATGGACGTTGATCTCCTCCCAAATCGACTGGCTAATCGATATCGCCCTCGTGTCACCTTACGTGTTTGTGGAGTCGAAGGATCGTCATTTAATGCAAGCCCTTAATAAGGGGATTCTCATCGCGGCTTATGTCCCCTCGCAAAGAAGAAGTGTGCTCGTCAACCTCATCTCTAGAAAAGCTGGTCATTTGCTAGCGAGACGACTGGATAGCCAAAATATCCGAGTTAACAGTTGGTACTTGAATTCAAAGATGGGTCAAATGTCTTACAAGAAATTCCATCCAATTCGACGCTTTATATCAAAGTATTTCTCGAGGAGGCCTCCCCCGATCAAGATGTTGACCTATTACCTGGAGTCAAACTTCGTTGGCCTAAAAACATCAAATCATGTTTGCGCGATTTATAGACAGAATGATGTCAATGCTTATGCTAGTCTTGACGGGTTGACGATTAATTTGGAGAAAAAAATCGCGCTCACAAATTTGTTTTTACCTCCAAATATCCATCTCATCATCTTAAAATTTACACATGAGAAATTGTCGGAAAACCAATTTAAGGCTCTTCCATAATCGAGTATAACCATGGGTGACGTTTCAAACCTGTGTTCACAGGCCTCCATTGCATGCGTTATCCGATCTTGGGGACACGTGAGGATTCGGTCAACCCTAGCCCAGTTTAATCCCGGGTATAGTCTGGGACAGGGGTATACTCTGGCCTGTTACACCGGTACGGAAAGTGCCATATACGTATTGCACTTACAAAACAATGTGTACCAATGACAAGAAGTGATCATCGAATCTCAATTGCACTGGATCATCAATCTTGTCCTTATCTACCCCTATCTAGTCATGGATGATGATCGTAATGTCATCAAACTAGAAAACAAGGGGGTTCTACTGGACTACAGTTTTATTCCGGTTGAAGAAAAGGGAATGTACGTATCAACATTACCAAATCAAACGGGTAATATGATAGTCACCTGTCCGGAAACCGAAGATAAATGGATGTATTTAAAAAAATATAATGAAGGCCCACACTCGTCGGTCACTGTGATACAAGGTTCTACCCTTATTATTGAAGTTTTTCTTGGAGATGCCCCCACAAAAGATTCGACAATTCTGGTTGGGTTAAGGATACGCTGGTATGATCGCCATCAACATCAACGTTGTCGTATTTATATACAACCAGGAACGGCTCCCATCACAAGCCTCGAGGGGATCAAGGTTATTCAGTCTAAACGCATATTATTCCATGCCATTAATTTATCCGAGCATATATACTTCATCAGTTTAAAGTATATTCATCAATGATTGACAAAGGAACAATTAAAGCTTATTTCCTAACATATATTATACTCGAGATGGCATTGTATCCAGCCATGGACGAAGTGGCTCAAACGCTCGAAACCGTGGATGGTTTTCGTTTACGACAAATCAGTGAGATCAGACCTCAACTGGAACAAGAACGTGACGTGGGCATTGGATTACCCCAAAAATACCATAGGGCAACAAATGCTCTGGACGGTGTAGACACTACCCTAATGGTGACCAGCATGGGACATGGCACGGCTGACGTCAGCTTATTATCAACCATTATAGCCGCCCCCATTGGTTATCGGAACTGGTAGGAGTAACCCTTAAATTAATTTCAAGTCGGCTTCAAGGTAAAGCGCTGAAACACGATGAAATTAGAATTCTAGCCGAGGCAAAGCTAAACACGATCGATAATCATATCTCGACAGCGATCTCTGACAGCAAAATCTCAGAGGAAGAGTTTCGTTTAGTGATGTCTGAAATCACTAAATATCCCCGAATGAAACAGGAGATTCGAACCAAGTCTAGAAAAACCGCTGACATCAGCGAAGTCGAGAAAAAAAAGTTCTTAAAACAGGGCTGACAACAGATCATTCAAACCTTCCTTACCAAGAACAAAGATTTCATAAAAGATTAACGTTAAACTTATTTGTAGATATTAACATAGAAAGATAGAAAGGTTAAAAAAGTAGCAAAACGTCCCCGGCGGCCACAATTCCTCTAGAAATCAAAAGATTAATAATTTTCGAGCAAAAAACTTGGTTATCAGGTCCCTGGTAGCTGTTTTTTGCTCACTGCCTGTTGTTGACATACAAGCTCCCATGCAGGCTTATGTGTTCGTAGCCTGAGTGAGCAATCTAGGCCAGCCCAGCGCTCATGTAGGAACGCTGGCATAACACATCTCATTATCTAGACCAGTCCAGCGCTCATGGAGGAATGCTGGCGTGACCTATATACCTCCACTCACTTGCAAAAGTCTTGGCTGCTACCCCGTCTCAAACTCCAAACTCAAACTCTCTACCACCCCACTGGCGGGACGGCTGACAGACACAATGCAAATTTAACGGGTCTATCCATAGAATTGCATCATCCTCTTAAACCGGGATCTGTCTATAGTAGTGCAAAGGATGTCTAGCGCAGAGGATGTCTGGATCCAGTCTTACAACAAATCCCACTTCCGCTTCAAAAGTCTTAACACGAGATCGCTCGCTTCAAAAACGTTAGGGTGTATTTTCACCTAGAATAAAGTCTAATAAAATACAAACACGATGCTTGTAGGTAGTCTGAACAACGCTGATCACGACAGATGTAACGATGGACGCTGAAAGCAATTTTAGAAGCCACAATCCATTATTTTAGAATCGGTCGTATGAGCTATATACCTATCGGGAACCAGTTTTATGAGGTCGCTCGCTTCGAAAACGTTGGGGGGATTTTCACCTCGAATAAAGGTCTAAATAAAATACAAACACGATGCTCGTACGTAGCTTAAACTACGCTGAATACGATACATTGGTCGATAGGCTATTGGATATTGATACAGCTACATCCCTGGCAACAGAAGCTTGCCATCACTGCATGTCTTTGAAGCGTATCCCTTCACAACTATACCCTCAGTCAAGAAAAACCGTACCGGACATGGTATGCCGCAGACGTAATGAAACGTTATTGCCAGCTCATCTTTGACAAACACGTGTCTTCAAATACGTAAGTTTACCCAATCTCAGTTTCGCTCAAGAGTATATGACAGACTGTAACCGAGTAATGCCGACTCTCCTCAGAGCCACTCCTAATGACCAAATATGATTTGTTTTCTCTGGAAGACAGGAGGAAGGGTGGTTACGCCATCACGTTCAATCCGCGTTTGTTTCTTTCTGTTTGTACGGAATGTTATAGTTCATCATTCCCTGTTTTGTACTGGTTTACATCATGGTTGCCGAATATACCACATGTTGTTCGAGTGATCGGTGTTGTTCATAGGCGCAACAACACTACTTTTGAAAAATATTGAATTTTCATGTATCGGTATCACCTTTATCTCCTTTTATTCATCGGGCGACTTATAATTGACACTTGCCTCTTGGCCACACTGCACAAGAAGATATTAATTAAGGTAATGGTTCTAAATCACATAATACTCACGCATGCCATCATCATAGAGAGTTATGTTGAATATGTCTCCTGGTCTGGACACCTCCACCTCCACAAAAGCCCTGACGATTGGAGCGTATCCCTGGTGAACGTAGGCGTAAGCGACGACCCCACTACGACCTCCTGAGTAGTCATACGTCTTAGAGCTGGTCCAGGTCTCCACCTTAAAGGGCAGGGTGCCAACCCGTGGGTGCGACGTCACCACAGCTGTTATGCTCTCGTTCGCGTTAGAGTCGCGTTTTAACATATACTTCCATGTCCCCGTCTAGGAGTAAACGTTAAAACATAACGTGGTGTAATCTTATTGAAATATAAGTGCAGCCAGTGTAAACCTCACAGTATCCCCTCAGAGGCAATTTTGACTTTTGGCATAGAGGTATGTTTAGAGGCGAAAGAGTGGGGCGATTCTTCATTTAAAAGGTCATGATCTAATCGCTTGAATTATTGTAAAATCATGATTGTGAATTTTGGATACTTATTTCAGAACTAAATAGAACACAAATAGTACACTAGAGTTGTACATTCATTTATCAGATCCCCTTTAATCAAAGCTCAGTGGCGAAATTCATTTTCCAATCTTGCATCATTGAAAATATGCGTTACCGGGATGCCTTTGATTGGGTTGAAACTGTTGTAATCTGTGAGGCAATCTGCCGTTGCAATATGTGACATTAGATCAGCGTTAATGCATGTCTTCTTCCGCTAGTCGTTCATATAATTATGAAATATGTATTACAATTTCTACTTTCAACATGTATGTAGTTATATATTACATGTAACAATGATAATATACATCGTAAATGTTAAGACAGTTGAAGAAGTTGTACTTTTATCTTTACTTTATCTTACCTTGGTCAATGGGAAAAGGAATCTTATTATGTTCAGAGTCTCATCTTTGCTGTATTCAGATGAATTGGAATCATACACAGCCCCATAAGGATCTTCAATTCTGATCTATGAGAAAATGAAGCATTTTGTTTAGACTGGTCAACACAAATGCAAGGACAATGTACAGTGTGTAAGGCGCCATTTAGCATATAGAATGGGGTGATTTAAATGACGTTACTCCTACCCTACTATACGGTTATGTTTCACAAATATCTCGTCAATTCACCTTTGTTTCCGCACCATGTGACAAAGTAAAGACGAAAAGCGTGTTGTTGCCGACGGTGGGGTCCATGTTAAGTATTCTGGTGAAATTATTCTGTTTTGACGTTAGAACAAATGCGCGACGATCAATCTGGAACAGAATTTCGAGGAATCAGGAAATTCTGGAATATAACTGAATTTTCTATTAGCACCCAAACCAGTGACTGGCAGCATGAACAACAATCGAAGCCAGTGGACACATCTCAACTAGGTCACAAACTGCAATGTTTTCAATCTAATCAACCAGCTCTTATGACACACATCGGAGATCGGGAACGCTTTCTGCTGTGGAATTAACACCGTGTTTAAGAATACAAGCAAAACCGACCACATGCAGAATTTTTACGAAATGGAATTTTCTCATCAAGTTATGGTTTCAATTACCTCAATATTATTATCGTATTCGTCGCAGAGGCTGAGGTCCTTCAGTAGTCGGTCAGCTGCTGCCTTAAGGGCTGTCAAACCGGAGGTCTCTCCAAAGAACGAATACTGGCCACCTGTCATACACAACAAGGTCAATGTACCTATTCCATCCAGGTTATCTGGGGTCCTAATGAAAAGGTGCATTTACACTCTGACACATACAACAATGTCACTGTAACGATACTATTATATCCAGCATGTCTGGAATCCTAACAAAGGGGAATACTTTCCTCTTGACACATACAACAATGTCCCTGTAAGGAAAACATTACATCCCGGTTGTCTGGATTCTGGAGCAGTTATCTCACGACACAAACAGAATGTCACTGCAACCATCACATTTAGTTTCAAGCTTAAATTTCTTGCTTATCTGCTGATTTCGATAATCTTTGTAGGACTTATGCAGCAGAATCACCATAGGCCATTGTGTGAACAACAACCTTAGAGCGCACAATATCGGAATAGCGGTCGTTCACACTCGGAGTAACGTTTTCTTCTCCGTCAGTGACGAGGAATATTCGTCCATTCTCCGCCGATTTCCCCCGGCCGTTTAGCATCTAGATACATAAAACATATCATCACTGTTTGTCTCAAGTTGACGCCGTATTCTGAGACATTCAAGCTATGCCACGACCTTCTGTTAGTAGTATTTTCTGGATTTCCAAATTGTTGGAGTGTGATGAAGTTAGCAAACATGTCCTCTCGATCCATGTTATCTACTCATGCACATACTATCTGAACGTATATTTTGTAATCGCTGATCCTAATATATTGAATCTACAAAAAAAATAACAACATACAATCTGTAGATAAGTATAATTTTCAGGCACTCTTCGTAGACATCACATTTAAAAAAAAATCAATTAAGAACCCATTAGAGATTGAGAGTGATACTCTCAAAATAACAAATTATGAACATTTTTTATGCGACTTGAATGTAAATATGCACAGCTTTAGTAACAAAGGAGGTCAGTGACTCTGAATATTTGACAAATAAAGCTTTGGGCAGGGTATCACAGAGACAGTTTTCTGTGTTTATGCAAAATAAACGAAAGCTTATATACTTTTACTTGTCAGAAGATCCCATGTTTAAAGACTGACATCATGCGATCTTTAGATACGATTTTCATGCTCTTTTCACAAACACTACAGTTTTGAAAAAGATCAGCTTACTACCTTTGATCTTTGAAAGAAAACACGATAGTGAATTAAGATGTCCACCTAGTTATATAGTATTCTTACCCTCTTTTGAGTGGCATTTTTGGAGAGTCAAATTTTATTGATGGACAACCTCTTTATTCAGTTGATACAACGTTTTGATACAGATTCTTGTATCATTGTCAAGCAGGTAGAAAACAGTGTTATATATATTGACAACGATACAAGAATTTCTATCGAAACGTCGCATCACCTGAATAAAGAAGTTGTTCATCCATAAAGTTTGTCTAATAGTTTTCTTATACTCCAATAAATCCGTCTACTTGGGCTGTGAGCATACAGCCAATTTTTTTTTTGTTTATGACAAAGAAAATACATCTGTACCTTGATGGCTTTTAGAAGACCTAATCCTATAGCTGTTTTACCACCATAGTCTTCTTCGTCCGGCAGACCCTGGGTCAGCATCTGTCTGTCTGCAGATGATGTGATGAAACGCATGTTGGCCCAGATTCTGGCGGAATCGCTGAACACCACAATCCCCACTTCTGTGCCCAGAGGTAGAATGTCTCTGATGATTTGATCAGCAATTTGCCGCAGTTTGAAGTATCTGGAATTCTATCAAAGTCACAGAGTCATGACACTATCATTTAAACTACTGACATTGATTGAAGCCATTGCAAGCATGTATATTTCGAGATTATGAGATCTGATCTGGACATGACTGATCTGCCGTGACATCAGAGTTCGGTGTTGTGGAGTATTTTGCATTGAGAACATGGTAAACCGAAGGATCAAGAACTGCCTTTGTGTTATCCTATAATGAACCTTGGCTGTTATGGAACATGCTCGTTTCTCCAGCGTCACCTTCATTTCGTTATAACAAATCTCTTCTCTACAAGGTGAGATAAAACTCCAGCTCCAGCTCCAGCTCACACGAGTTACTGCTGGCAAATTTGTTGTTCACATAGTATTACATCATCAGTGCAGCATATGTGATTTATCGGATCGGTTAGGTGCTACAGATTTAAGCGATCTTGCTAAGGATGCTTGTAGTCAACACTTATCTTTGTTCTAACATATATACTTCATTATTCCCATCTTTTGTAAGAACATATACTTATACAATTACAGGTGGTGTCAATTTGTTGGTTACCTGTTTCATCGACTCCGAGAGATCTAACAGAAGAACGATTCTACGTCCACAAATGGTTGTGTTGCCAACCGCCTCTCTCTGGCCATAGACAACATTAAACTGAGGGGCTCGGTTTCTAATGTCCGCAGGGTTACTTCCCTTTATGTCTGTATGTTCCCTGATGACGTCCCAAGTTCCCCTTTCGCTGCACATTTTGTTATGCCTGTTTGGGGCATTGGGGTTATGAATCAAGTCCATTCTACCACTGTCAGGGTCACTTTCGCAAAAGTGAACCACCTAGAAGGTAAAATGTATTGCAAAATATATAATCATGCATTGTAAACTTAATGTTTATTACAGCTGAACTTCAAAGAGGAAGCAATTACATAACTATAGTATCGTATTAGACAATTTGAATCGAAAAACAATACGTCACCCGTTTACCTCCTTCAAGAACTGGGCATACATGACAGACACTGTTGCCGTGTTGTTGTTGACGTCTGGGAGAAAGGAACAGTCTTTATTCACCAACTCCTCACTGTCGACAGGTTCGCATCTGGAGCCTTCCACTTTATTGATAAAGTTACCGGTAATATCGGTCGAGCAGGCAGTGGGGCGTACGGTCGTTCCTGTGTCATCTACATAGTAGACTGGGTGCTGACGGCTACCGGGGATGCCGTACTCATCAAATACGCCAAATCTTAGATGGGCGAACTCGTGCACCAGAACACGGCCTTCGTATTGGGAAACAAACGCAAGGTGGCCTTCATTAATACATAGCATAAGTACACAACTATCATGTAGTGCTGCTTAGTAAACAGCAAATGGCGCACACTGCATTGTATCTGGATTATGACGGGTTAGTATGATGCCCTCAGTCTATGAGAGATGGGCGTATAGCCCGGCATAATCACATAATCATATAATTGCTGTTGGTTGTCATGGGTAACACTCTACCTACCTGCATCTCCATAATTAATGTCCCGGTCGTTGTCTTTGTCCAGCACATAGTCGGGTGTCAGGAGGATATAGCGTCCAGGCTCCCCACACTGCCCTGGTTGGAACGTGTACGGAGTATTGCCCTGTAAAGAGAGAGAAAGAAGGGAGAGAGAGAGAGAGAGAGAGAGAGACAGAGAGACAGAGAGAGACAGGTTGCCAGAATAAACTATGTCTGCACATGAATTCAACCAGTGATATAAACAACGTTACACTCGCGCGTAATTGTTTTTTGGTGTTGTTGAGTGAGTGAGTGAGTGAGTGAATTTAGTTTTACGCTGCTTTTAGCAATATTCCAGCAATATCATGGCGTTGGACACCAGGAATGAGCAAACGTGAAAGTCCGTGATTGCCACGGCAGTCACGGTACTATTGAGAAACCTAGTAAGCGGTAGTAAAACGGTGGGAACGCAACGAAACCTGACAGCACGTAATAAGCCGTAACATAACTTGTAGACGATCCGTAGTGGGTCGGTTGTGGGACCGGGGAGGGGGGGGGGGGGGGATAGCATAGCATGTGTGTTCCCCGGCATCTCACGGTCCCTTCAAGTTTCGTTACGTTCGCCACATTTGTTTGGCGTTTTATCACAGTTGGTTCGCCCTTGCTGTCCGTTTTGTCCCGGTTCTCACAGCAAGGTAGGTTGTATGGTTGCCAATTCGTCCCGTTCTATAACGACGCCGCATCCAGGTGTGTGACGGTTTACAGGGCCGGCGAGCTACGGCACAATGCATTCTCTGGCATTCCCTCCCTGCAGCTGATTCTGGCCTTCTTGCTGACTCAAGGACACAATGTATGCCCCCAGCAAACACCAAATGCTGCTCTTGTCTCTCAGGGTACTATGGCTGTTATTGCTATTATATTTTATACTGAAGGCACAAACGCGCTCCAAATCTGGCCGACGTCAACAGAACGCACAAAACGTGTCAAACCCTTGATCAAAACGTGATTAACGTGAGGGAACCCATCTGAACGCCACAGGCCGGGAGGAAAGGTAATGAAATCCGCAGTGGACAGAACCGTAGTGCGCCTTTGAGCTCCCGGGACTCAGCAGCCCGTTTTTTACCAAACGGAAAACGTAGCAGGTCAGAACAAAACTTGACTTTGGAGGAAAGAAATGGCCAAAACCCCACGGCGCATTCGGTTTCAGGGAAACGGGGCTGCCGTGGCCACCGGGAACAAAATGTAACCCTAGCATTACTTCGGTCGTAACAATGACAAGTTTAATATGTCAGTTCTCTTTAAAACAATCGCGCTAAAATATTACCTTTAGAGGATTGGGTGAATCCACTCTGACATCTGCATCAGTAAAGGTTATCTCCCCTTTGTCTTTCCAGCTTGGATCTTTGGTCCACGTGTCTGGTACTAAGATGGTCACATGTCTAATGTAGGTGTACTTCCGGGTTGTATTGTACAGGTAGTCCGAGGCAGAGGTAAACATGGTCTGAAAAAGTCCACCGGGTAAAAAAAAGTTATCACTTTTAAAGTAATTGTATAAAAAGCAAAAACGCTGGTGCAGGTTTGAATCCATGCCAAAAATATTCGCCAAAGCGCAACATGGTCCCGATCACAATGCATCTCTAAGAAAAGTTCGTAGGAATCGTGCATTTTTCAAAAGGTGAAGAACATCAAAAGATGTTAGCAGACCAAGCATGCAGTAACCAAAAAAACACCACGAACATGCCGAGACTTACTCAAGCGCATAAAGACAGGGCGATCGGTGTGGCCAATCTCGGGCTTCACAACTGCAGCCAGGCTACCATCAGCACAAAACGCTACTAGCAAACAGG